GCCATCATCTGCCCCTCATTCCTTCATCATCCCCCTCGTTCTCAGGTGTCATCTTCCCATCATTCCTTAATCTTCTCCAAAATTTTCCTCTATTCCTTTCCTCCTACTCAAACACCACATTCAAAATCACCATCATCACCTCTTTCATCATTGCTAACCCAAACATCATTTTCAACCATTAGCATCTAGAGCACACTTTTTCTATGACAAACGGATCGCCAAAGGGGGCGGGCGGAACACGGACGCCGGCGAATGCAAAATTGAGGAAAGAAGTATAGGGGTTGGTCGGAATAGCCATGCTGGGGATCTTTTTTTATTGGGTAGAGAAGGTTTGAAATTTGCCCAATCATAGAAATCACTCCGGCGAGCTTGCTGGTGCTGGTAAAACTATGAACATTGGCTAATCCAATTTCAAGGAATTCAGGATCTGTCTCAGAGGGGAATATAACAAAAAAATTGAATTTTTGCTGAATGAGAAGGAACCAGAGGGCTAACAATACTTTGCAGAAATTTTCGGCGAAATATAATCGGAATTGTGATATTGATGGGAATACTCATGCAAGACCTTCAGTTAATGATTTGTTTAGTTAATGATTTTTCACTGATTTTTGTAATTTATTTAGGGGGTTTTAGAGTAGAGGAAGGAGGTGTTCATGGTGGAAGGTGCTAGTGGCCACCCGAGGAAGAAGAAACAAAAAAAAAAATCCTAGAAACTTTAATAAAATGGTTAAATAAAGATTAGGACCCACAAATTATACATGTCAAATAATAATTGGCGAACAACGTGATGTATCAATTATGTCTAAGCGATTGAGGCACACGATCAGTTTGAGGTGCTTATTTTTTGTATTTTTATCAAATTACGGTGTTCAAATGGGAAACACGTAAGTTCCTTTACCAGGTTGAAAAATGGCTACAAGTTTAAGTCGTTCGAAGGTCATTTTGTCTATATATATAATGCATGCTGGACTCATGTAATAGCATTCTGAATCTTTCGGAGTGACATATGGTCGGTAACCTTCGTATACGTTATTAGAGCGAACTCTTTATCATGAATCTTATAAGAATGAAGAAATACCAAAAACATTTGATAACATAAGACGAAGAGAAGCAACATCAACATCATTCCATATGAAGGAAAACAATGTAAGTATTGCTAGCTTCTAAGAGTGGAGTATCTTTGGAAGGTCTTTTGTTTATGTTATGTACAATCAGAGTCATGTAAAAGCAAGAAAAAGATAGCCTCACATACCTTGTATATACTGCCCAACCTCAAGCTATGCAAATGTCATGGCTCTTTAGTCTACCATAAGAGAAATGATATTGCGGATTCACGTATAAAAATAATTTCTTCTTAGAAAAAAAAACTTAATACTCCTATCAAAATTATGTCTTATATTTTGTACTGTCTAATTATTGGGTTCTCTAAATGCGTAGTCTTAGGTGATCGTTGGTGCACTTGAAAATATAGTGAACAAACTTTTCCCTTTTTTTCCTAGCAACAAGCGAATCGATGTGTTTTTGTTAAGTTGAGCTGGACAAAGGTAAGGATCAATCATAAATGGAGGTTCTATGGTATGACATGCAAATCAGTGCACACCGACTCAGAAGCTAAGAATATTCGAAAGAGACAGAAGAAGTAAAGAGAAAGTCATTCTTATTGCTCTATTTTCTAATACAAGAAGGGAGCTTGCTATATAGAAGAGAAGTGCATTAACTGCCTTCTAACAAACTTCTACTTTTAGCTCTTTCTAGTTTTAACTAATTACAAATTGACACCTCACTCATATTAACTGAGTTATCCATCTAGCTATGTTGATACTCCCCCTCAAGCTGGAGGGTGGAAAACATTCAGCACTCTTAGCTTGGAAATAACAACTCATGTTGAGCTGTCCCCAGTCCTTTAGTCATTAAGTCTGTAAGTTGTTGTTTTGTGGGTATATACACTGTCTTGATCAACCCTTGTTTTATTCTTTCCCTGACAAAATGGTAATTTATCTCTATATGTTTGGTTCTCTCATGAAAGATTGGATTGGAAGTTATTTGTACAGTTGTTTTGCTATCACAATGTAGGTGTACAGGTTCTTTTACATTGTAGCCTAGCTCCTTTACTAAGCCTGTCATCTATATTGCTTATGCAACAGCTGCTGCCATGCTTTTGTATTCTACCTTTGTAGAGCTTCTACTTACTTTTTGTTGTTTTTTTGACTTCCAAGATAACAATGAGTCTCCCAGTTTAACCACATAACCTCTGACATATTTTCTTGTATTTGGGCATGCTGCCCAGTCTGAATCACAGTATGCTGTGAGAGTATTGGTTTGTCCACTGCTCAAAATGATTCCTAGTACAAGGCTTCCTTAGATGTATCTGACCACTCTTAATGATGCTTCCATATTGGACTCCTTGGGAGATTGCATAAACTGGCTCAGTGCTTGGACTGCAAATCATATGTCCGGCCTTGTAATTGTCATATATAGCAGTTTACCAATTAGTTTATGATAACTACATGTATCTTCCAGCAGAGTATCTCCAATATTACCAACATATTTGTCATACTCAACAGTAGTAAGTTTGTGATTTTGCTCCATAGGTGTTGAGACTGCCTTGCAGCCACTCAACCTAACCTCTGGAACCAGCTCCAATACGTACTTTCTTTGGTTTAGGAGAATGCCTTTATCCGATCTCATCACTTGAGAATGCCTTTATCTGATCTCATCACTTCAATTCCTAAGAAGTATCTGAGCTCACCTAGATCCTTCATTTTGAAGTTCCTGTGTAATGTTGCCTTTGCCTCTTCAATGAGACTGTTACTACTTCCTGTTAATAGAAGATCATCAACATATACCAAAACAACTATAATGTCTTTTTTTCTTTTCTTTGTGAATAGGGAGTGATCATAACTGCTTTGCATAAAACCAGGTTGAAGAAGTGCATATGTCAACTTTATATTCCATTGTCTTGAGGCTTGTTTCAAGCCATACAAGGATTTTAGTAACTTGCATACTTTGGACTCCCCCTGGCTGTGAAATCCTCGCGAAAGCTGCATGTAGACTCCCTCAAATATATCACCTTGGAGAAAGGCATTGTTGACGTCCATTTGGAAAAAGGCCATCCTTCGGATGATGCAACACCAATGACTGCCCTCACTGTCACATTTTTGCTATAGGTGTTTCATGGTAGTCAAGACCCTCTTGTTGAGTGTAGCCTTTAGCCACTAATCTTGCTTTGTACATGTCTATCTCACTATTAGCTTTATGTTTAACTTTGTAGACCCATTTAGAGCCTATAACTTGTTTGTCAGCAGGCAGATTTACTATCTCCCAGGAGTGATTATCTTCAAGAGCCTTGATTTTCTGTTCCATTACATGAACCCAATTCTGATCCGCTGCAACTTCCTTGTAGGTCTTTGGTTCAATGACAACCGAGAAGGACTTCAAGTAGAACTGATATGTTAGAGATAAATGATCATAAGTGACATGATTGGAGATATTATATTTGCTCTTTCCTGGTAGGTTGCCTGCAATGATGTAGTCCTTGAGCCAAATTGGAGATCCTGCATGTCTTTATGGTCTTGAAGAAATCACTGCTGGTGGAGAAGGTGGCTGAGAAGGTGAAGAACTAGCTGTATCAACCTGCTGAGGTAGTAAAGGACCAGGAATCTCTTCATTGTCTGGAATTGAATCCTCTTCTGCAGAGGTTGTGTTGGTATCTGTTGTAGAAGGTTCATGAGGTTCAGGAGAATTTGGATGAGGTTCTGGTGCAATGGCAGGGGATGCTGGTGTATTTTGCTCACTATAAGTTGGAGTGGATAATGGTTCTGGGAATTGAGCATTTTCTGAGAGCTATAGAACGAGTTCCTTATCATCAAGAGAGTTGTATTTGAAGGGAAATATATATTCATGAAACTTGACATCTCTACTGAAAAAATATTTCAAGATCATATAATTTATAACCCTTCTAAGTTTCAGAATACCCAATAAACATTGCCCTTAATGCTCGAGCTGCAAACTTGTCCCTTCTGGGAAATATGCTAGCATAACATTGACACCCAAACACTCTTAGATGATCTATGTTTGGTACTTTCCCATATAACATAGTATAAGGAGTATTGCCTTTCTAGGACCTGTGTATATAGCCTATTGATCAAGTAGACTGTTGTTCTAACGCACTCAGCCCAAAATTTAATAGGCATACCACTCTGAAATCTTAAGGCTCTAGCTACCTCCATAATGTGTCTGTGTTTTCTCTCCACAGTCCCATTTTGTTGATACGTATATGAACAACTGCTTTGATGAATAATGCCAAATGAGTAGAGCAATTCATTACATTTGGAATTGAAAAACTTTGTACCATTGTCATTTCTCAGAATCTTGATATTCACATCAAACTGAGTTTTTATTACAGAAATGAAATTCTTCAAAACAACATAAACTTCACACTTTGACTGTATCAAGCAGACCCACGTATACCTACTAAAGTCATCAACAATAGTAAGAAAATACTGGTTTCTATCATAGATTGGAATCTTATAAGGTCCCAGACATCTAAGTGAATAAGATGAATTATACTAGTGGACTTAGTAGTGCTAGTAGGGAACTATAATTTACATTGTTTGGCTAGAGGACAAACAGTACAGTTTTCCAATTCCTTTCCACTAATATCATTTTAAAGTGAAACTATATGTTGTATAGATTTTATAGAAGCATGTCCTAGTCTGGGATGCCATAACTTGGTGCTTTCCTCCTTCTTTATAATATAAATTGTTATTCCTGATGCCTTTGCACATTCTCTCAATATGTAAAGACCTTCAGATTCCTTAGCAATCTGCAAGACCTTGCCACTGTAGAGACCCTGCAGCACACAAAAATCCGAATAGAAGTTGACTGTGCAAGTAAGGTACCTAGTGAGTCAACCACATATAAGAGATTGAACTTAAAATTTAGTATATGTAGTACATCTTTTATGTACAGGCCTCGTAGAATTAATGTATGTGTTATCCCTGCCTTGTTACCAGTTGGCAATTGCAGACCATTACTTCCTTCTTTTCCACTTGTTTTAACATTGTTTAGTACTTCCTTATTATAAGTAATATGGTGAGTAGCTCCTGAGTCTACCACCCAACTGCTTATGGTAGAATTGGACAACAAGGGTACAATATCTGCCATATTAGTAGATCATTCACCTTCTACAGGTTTATTCAACAGTCCCACCAATTACTTGTATTGTTCTTCTGTGAGATAATGTCCTTGTGGTTGATTAGTGCTCCCAACTGTATCATCTACACTAGTAGTGTTGGCATAGGTTTTGTGTCCACCAAATTGAGGCTTCTTGTTGCTTTTAAAACCAGTTGGATATCCAACTACTATTTTATAGCAATTCTCTTTCAAATGACCTTTGTATCCATAATGTTCATAGATCAACCCAGTTTTCCTTGTTTAAATCTCTGAGTCTTCCCCGCTAACATAGTCAGAGGATCTCTGTTGGTGTTTGTCACACCTAATGTCCCCTGACTCTTTTCCTGTGTAACAATGGCATATGCCTCATATACAGACACCACTGACCTTCTCATTAACACATTACTCCACACATTGCTATAGCTCTCATTTAACCCCCATAAGGAACTGAAGCAATCGTTGCTGCTGTAAATGAATCAGTGAAGGCCTAGATTCCTCACAATCACAAGAAGATTTAGGTGCCAATACATCCAATTCACTCCATAAATCTGACATCTTTGAGTAGTAAGTAGTCACTGAATCAGTGCCTTATTTTAGTGTGGCTATTTCAGTCCAAAGATGATAAATCCTTGTTAAGCTACAACTATCAAATTTCTCTTCAAAACCATTCCATACTTTCCTAGCATTAGATACGAAAACTGTGCTTGGCATTAGCTCACTCGCAACTGTACTTTCAATCCACGACAACACAATCGCGTTACACTTCTCCTATTGTGCTGCTAATTCTCCCCTTTACATGCTCTTAACACAACTTCCGTCCACAAATCCAAGCTTACTTTTACCCCTATGAGCTAGTTTCATTGCCCTAGCATAATTTTCTAGCACAATCAGTTTTATAGGAATCAAAACTACTCCTAGAGCATCAGATGTTTGTAGAAAAAGTGGATGATTGTGTTCGAGTGGGGTTACCTCATTTCCTGCCATGTTTGAAGAATTAGGGTTTTGTATGACTTTAATTTGCCGGAATTTCGTCGGACCACACACCGGAGCTTCTGTAAATCACGATCGCCGCTCTGATACCATGTTAAGTTGAGCTGGACAGAGGTAAGGATCAGTGATCAATGGAGGTTCTATGGTATGACATGCAAATCAATGCACACCGACTCAGAAGATAAGAACATTCGAGAGAGAAGAAGTAAAGAGAAGGTCATTTCTTATTGCTCTGTTTTCTGATACAAGAGCGGAGCTTGCTATATAGAAGAGAAGTGCACTAACTGCCTTCTAACAAACGTTTACTTTTAACTCCTTCTAGTTTTAACTAATTACAAACTGACCCCTCACTCATTAATTGATTTGTCCCTCTAGCTATGTTGACCATTTTGACTTTAGACTCTAGTAATAATAGAGAAAAATAGTATAATAGTAAGTAAATCAATATTTTTTGTGTTTAGACCCTGTAAAGTGTATATCTATATCTATATTATTATAAAAGCATGAATGCAATATCGGTTTACAAAAATAACCTTATAATATTAAGCATAATAACTCATAGTAAAAGGACATAACCAGAATTCTAGATATTAGCCTTATAATCCTATTAGTTTTAGGACATAATATTACATATTAGGAATCCTACATGATATAGCTCTAAGAATCCTATTATTATAACTACTTTCGGACTGTCTAATACAATTAATTATAGAATATATACAAAGTAATTAATTTCAACAAAAAAGTTGCATTCAATTATACAAATGCCAGCCCACATGTTTTATTATTAATAATCAATTGCAACAGTAAAAGAATTGGGTTTATTATGTAAGGAAAAAAAAAAGAATAAGTGGGCGTTTGGACATAAGAATTGTAAAATTCCAGAATATGGTGAAAGAAAATTTCAAGTGAAAAGTGGTATTTGAAATTTAGAGTTGTGTTTGGACATGAATATAATTTTGGGTTGTTTTTGAAGTTTTGTGAGTGATTTGAGTGAAAAATTTTAAAAACAACTTTTTGAACTTTTTCAAATTTTCGAAAATTTCCAAAATGCATATTCAAGTGAAAATTGAAAATTTTATGAACAAACACTGATTCCGAAAAAAAGTGAAAAAAAATTTCAAAAAAAGAAAACGATTTCTTATGTCCAAACGGGCTCGAAGTTTTCTATAACTTTTCAAGTAGGACTACAAAATAAGACTTGTGACTGTTTCTGGTATTTCCAAAAATAATGTTGTAATAGCTTTTAAAACCTTTTTCCTTTTTTCTTTATTGAGTAACTTGGTTCCGACTTTCGAGAGTATTGTACAATATTTTAAATGGTAAGCTTTATTTGGATAGTACGCATTCTTTTGAATATTAATATATTAGACTTTAATTTTCTAAGTTTCTATTTAGTTATATGTTTAAAATAAATGTTTAAAACATCTTTTTTAGACATTTCTCAATCATGAATATGCTTATGTTCGATTTTACTTTATTACATGTTTGTCTCTGTTTAGTATATTTTTTATATTATTCTTAAATAAATAATGGGTGATTCGTACTATAGATTTGCATGGAAAAAACTTGAAAAATCTTTGTTCATACAACTTGCTAAAATACACAACTAACTAACTTTATGATCTTTTTTTAACTTTCTTAAAATTAAGGAAATTTAACAATTAATAAATTTTCGTCTAATCACTCTTCCTTCCTTTTTTTTTTTTTTTTTTTTNAAATTATTTAGGCCCGAAAATGAATAGAAAATGGTAGATGAAAAAAAAAGTAGCACTTTATGTCATACGTTATGTAAACTGATTTTTATACCTTTTAAAAAAGTAAATTATATATTCTTCCAGAAAATAATTTTTTTTTGGATGGATCATAATATATAAAGCTTTAGCCACTACGGAGTTGAACCAAAAAATCACAACTCAGTACTGATATAAAAAAATAGTTTACCAATATAAAATAATTATTTGAATATAATGCAAATAAAGAACAACCACATTGATTATTTTGAGGGAAAAAAATAAGAACACGCATATATAGATACATGAGTGATAATTGATATTTGGATATACTAAACTATTTCATGCACGAGCATGTACGCTTATGGAAGAGACACATGATTGAAGTTTAATTAATCACGGTTGGAGTTAAATCTTGAAATTGAATTATTACCTAATGACTTTTTATCTTTATATTCTTCGTTATTAATGTATCTTAATTTAAAGAAATATGACTTTTATATACCTGGATCATTAAGGCTTAAATAAACTAAAGTGAATCATTCAATCAAAAAACTAATATCAAGTATTGTTGTATTCTTTAAGCGATTTAGAACTTCAATTGCATACTTATGTCATTTTAGAATGTTTATTACTTTTGAAAAGTGTTTGATAATATTTGACATAAGATATTCGTTATAATATAAAAAGATAGTATAATTTTTTATATTATAAACGTAAGTGAAGACAGAAAATAAAAAGAGGTTTAAAAGGTAAACGAAGCGGATTATACCGAAAGCAGACCCAATTATTCTATTGTATTGAAGTGAAAAACAGAATGTCAAAAGCGTAATTGTGGTAGAATGTCAAAGCTAAGGATAGAAGAAAGCCAAGTTTAAACAGGTAATAAGATGGGTTTATTCTAAATCCCCGAAGACTAATCGTTAGACAATATCGATTCATTTAAAGCAAATGATTCACCATTTTTGCTTATTGAGGTAGATTCGACTAATTTTTAGAATCTAATATAACACATGAATTATTGTAAAATCTTTAGAAAATACACATGACAAAAGTTTGAGTGTCGTAACTAGATTATTGCCGATAAAAGGATCCCCATTATCCTTTGCGAATTAAAGCCGACTCTAAAGCCTTTCTAATAATTTAGGACTTTACTTATCCTTTTCCAACTTAAAAAGGGTTTCCTTATGCTGCCCTGCACCCGTTTTAATACTTAATTTATACTAGTATTAGTACTCGCGCGAATGTGCGGACACTAATCTTGTCAAATATTTAAGTTATTTGGATTGTATGTAAATAATATTAAAATTTACACTTTCTCAGTAAATATAGATAATCATTGGATATTATCTATTTTTCTTTTTTGATACCATTCTTGCCGGTGTCATTGGATCCTAAAAATAATCAGGAAGCAAAATAATAACTCATATTTATGGCAAAACAATCAAATATTGAGATAATGAATTACTCTTTGGATAAGACTTAACTCTTTTACTAATACTTGAATTCTTATTTGGTGTGTTGATATCTCTTAAAAAAATATTTCTTTCTTACAATTTCAGTTTCTAAAATATTATTTTTCAATAATAATTATTTTTATAATAATGTAATTGAAAATATTATTCTTAATTCAAAACTCATTTTAGTTGGCTATCTAAAAATATAAAAAATTCTTTAGCTAGTGATTTGTTTTTTGCTTCATTTTGATATTTGACATTAACCATGTTAAATATCTGCGTTATTTAAATTATATGTAAATAACCTTAACATTTAAACCTTCTAAATAATTATAGATAATCGTCAGATATTAATTAAGAAACACTACATGAAAACATACTAACATTTTCTCAATTCTCGTAGTGATAGTTTTATTTTGGCACTATTCTCATAGATGTCATTGGAACCTAAAAATAGCCACATACTGAAATAATAACTCATATTTATGGCAAAGCACAAAGGTTGACACGATATAAACGATTCTTTGATTACGACGTGACTGTTATACTACGACTTGAACTCTTATTTGGTATGATTTTATCTTTCAAAAAATATTTCTATTTTGAAATTTCAATTTCTAAAATTTTATATATATATATATATATTATAATAATGATTATCTTTATAATGATGCAAGTGAAGATATTATCCTTAATTTAAAATTCACTTTAATCGGCTATCTAAAAATTTAAATGATTCTTTGGCCAGATTTATTTCAGTATGACTCCACTTTAAGTTTGTTGATATCTCTAGACCCAAAATTTAATTTTT